TAATCAAAGATGAGAATTGTTAAAGGTTATACATAGATAATACATCTATATGCATCAGATAATAATTTTACTGCTGGAAAGTTTGAGCTTCACAATAAACACTCTAAAGCTTCATGTGCAACAGTTAAAGCTGGCAAAGTGCAGAAGGTGGTGACCTTCGACTTTAAGGGAAGACATTTCATTTATCAAGAGCTCATGTCAGCTGAGCAGTCTAGGAATTGCTCTGCTCTACTTGTTCATCATCTGTTGATCAGCTTGCCTCTACTTATACTGAGAGCAAACCTTCAGTCTTCACCTGAGCATTGCATGAACTGCTGTACTGAAAACTTTGAGCTGAAAGTCTGCTTCTTTGTTTCTTTCTTCAATTCAAATCGAACCGAATTGTGAATCAGAATCGAATCGATTCTAGAAATCAGTGACAACACCCAGCCCTACAGTGAAAGGTTATGCTCAAGCTAAGGCTTTTCTGCAGGAACACTTTGGAAATTATTGCAGCTGCCTACAAGGAAAAGGCATTGTCATGGGCCCCAGTTAAATCAGAGATTGCCACTTCAGGATTACGGTTTATTTCTTAGAGGATGCTGTAACACTATGAATGAAGTGCAGTACTTATATGATTTGGATACACCAGCTAATATGTTACAATAATTAATAAGTCTTTGCTTAGGCTGCTGCCCCCGCGACCCGGCCTCGGATAAAGCGGATGAAGATGGATGGATGGATGGATGGATGGATGGATGGATAATTAATAAGTTGCTATAAGGGACCAGTGGAGGACTACAACCAGTGAAATAGAGAGATTCAATCAAACATTCAGAATCAGTGACAATGTTCAATTTGTAGAGAGACAAGAAAAGATTCTAGCAGATCATATATTTGGAAGTATCCATCCATCTTCAGTCTCAAATAATAGTGTAAAACTAGCTACTTTGAGGTCTAGAACAAAGCAGTTTTTTTGTCATGGTCTGGGTGTGTAGCTGCAAAATTCCACTGGATGTCTGAGCTTCCCTGGTATCTGCCCATGAGCAGGGCCTACAGCCTCCCTCACCTGGAGCTGATGAAGGCAATTTGGCTGGAGATTTAAGGTCCTCGCTGACACTGCTTCCTCGCCAGTTCATCAACAACCCTATTTGCTCCCAGATATTCCACCGCGCTGACAACTCATCCTGGAAATCTGGTTCAACTGCCTGCTTTTTGGAATTATTTCCTTGCCTCACCTGCCTGCCCTCCTGCCCTCACATTACCACAGAACCTTCAATGCTCAGGACAGCCGACACATGCTACCAAACCCACCTGAACCACACCACCTCTCCTTCAACGGTTCTATCTCCCACCTGCACAGTAAGACAAAGAAATTCATAGCCTCCACTCTCTCCAGAAAACCTCACTGACTACCATTTTAACACCGCTCTCCTCTCTTCTAGTGCGTGCTCCTGTTGCTTTCTTGGACCTGTCACTCTGCTTTTCCTACTCTCTACATGCCCCGTTTATCAAGCCTTAAGTCGAGTGCCATAGTAAATGTTATTCTTATCCTGATTAATAAAATGCTGTTAAAACCTTTCCTTAGCCTCTGCTTTGGGTTCTCTGCACGTGGGTTTTGTTTTGGTACTCTCACTATGACAGTGACAGTTTTGGTATTGATGTAACTGCTGTGTATTGGGCACATCAGCAAGGATTGTAGAAAATGTCTCTCATGCAAAGTGTGTCATTTGACACACTTGAAGCATTCATTTGTATGAATGCTTCATATTCATACAAAGGGGTGAAGAAACATAAATTAAGGGAAAAAAATACTGTTCAGGAAATACTGTTCCTGAACGTAGTCATGATGAACAACTTGCTTTGGCCAGAGAAAACCAACATTTTATGAAGGTGGTCACAGATTCAATTGTAAAAAGTCACTATCAGGTTGCATTGCCACTGAACAGGAGTCAGCAAAATATGTGAAAGAATCAAAAGATTGTTGAGCAACGTACTCAAAACCTAAAGAGCAGGGTTAAGAAAGATCCTTTATTTCAACAACAGTACACAGACCTTATGAATGAGATAATTTCCAAAGCATTTGCAGAAGTGCCTTTAGAAGAACTCACACATAGTGATGGGGGATCAGGATTTACTCCACACTTTGATGTGTATCACCCTCAGAAGGGTAAGATTTGTGTTGTGTTTGACTGTGAAGCATGATACATAGAATCCTTTGAAAGAGATGATGGTACTTCGAATGGGATTGACAGCCATTACTATGGTAAATTGTATGGATTACATTTGGAAACAGGAGTTGCATATGGAGTTTCTGGAGACCTGGCTCTCACGACTCTTACCTTCTACAACCTGAACAGGAATGGTACTACTGCCAAGGCAGGGGAGCATGGCAGTTGGGCCATACTGTCGACACCAGAAAACCTGCTCTCCCTCAGTCTTACGGGACACAAGGGAGTGAGATTCCACTCCATCCTCCAACCAACAAATTTCATGTGTTCAGATGTTGTATTAACAGTGTCAAAACTATTATTCCTAAATTTTAAAAACCACATTTAAGATCTCACCATTCCCTTTGAAAATCATTAAAACCCATCTTCTAAAGCAGACGACATGTTTTAGGTGAGGAGACTTGCTACCAAGGAGGATCATGTAAGGAGAACAGGAGCTGTCTGATAACTCCTATGTCAAAAATGTGTTCATGATGAAGGGTGGAACATTGGAGATGATGACTTTCTTTGTAGGATTTCCCAGCGAGAGAACAGTAGTTGGAGTGCTCTTAGTCACTACTCACTGAGCTGATGCACCTTATGCTGTTTACAAAGATGTACTAGCATGGTTCACAACCATGCTGGTAGAGGTTAGTTAACCCCCACTTTTAACAGAAACCCTAATACCAAACAGAAAACAGTTTGAAACTATTCATTCATTCATCCACCACAAACGCTCAGACAGAGAGTTTGTGCAAATATTATTGGTCATCGTTGCTGTCATGAAACAGCTGGATGAAGAAAGTCAGTCATCTGCCAACTAAGTAAGAAGAGACAATAGCAGTATGTATTTGATCTTTCTTATATTTTCTCCATTATAAAAATGGGCCATCCACAGAGTTAAAGTCAGCTCTAACATTTCAGACACAGTCTCTGTCTGAAAGTTGTTTGGTAAACACTTCTAGCTGCCCTGTCAGAGGACATGACCTATCTTCTCACTTGAATACCGAGAAAGCCCTGGCATGCCAGTGACTGGGACTTCCTGGAATCACTAAGAGGAGGGACGTGCCACAGAGAAGGTGACTGGGTTTCTACGAGTTTTGAATCAAAATGAAAACCCCTCCGTTTCTAGCCTGATGTCTGCCAGTTAAAAGAAGAAATAACAGCAGTAAGTATTTTAACTGTTGGCTTACTGCATGCATGTGTTGCTTTGCATTTTTAAGTAAACGGTAAATGGTCTGAGTGTTTTTCAAAATAAAATATATGGCCAAATTATCATTAGCTGTGATATTTTTATTTAATAATTGTACCAGATAATGTTAATGTTCAATCCAGACTGTTGGCTTTGTTTGATTTCAGAGAGATAGTCCTACTCCTTTTCTCTTGTCTTTTTACTGTTATTTTATACAAAGCTGAACAAGTGATTATGTCATTTCTGATTTCACTGTAATGTGAGAACTCAGAGGCACATTTTATGAGTTACACTTTATATTTTGCTGTCACCAATGGAGAAAACTTGTGTTTCCCTTTGTCAGTCTCTGCATCCCTGAAATGAAACTTCTGCAGCAGAAAAGTGGCATGAAAAAATTTTTTTTTTACTCCATTAACAAATCACAAGGTTATTATAACAACTGTACCGTCTGAAGACTTTGTTTACAATACAAAACACCAACACATTAGCATGAAGGAACTGACTGGGGAGCAGCACTCTGTTGAGTTGGTCACCATAAACTCTGTAAACACTCAGTGCCCAGAACTAAAAATCTAACTAAACACAAGTTAATGTCCGGTTATTCTTCAAAGACTCTGTTTTATTCATTGCTCTGTTTAATGATTTGTAAGAAACAAAGGGGTGTCATAGTTTATGGGATGATCTGACCAAGTCCTGATGTGGAGGACCCAAATGAAGACACTTGGAGACAGTTTTATGTTCTTGGAGATAATTTTAAGCATGAAATATACAAAGAACCACAAACAAAACTGTAAAAGGCACAAGAAGCTTTATAACACTGGGGACATGAGATGGAAAGAAAAAAGACAAAGCAACACTGGCACAATATTTACACAGGAGGGAGATTTAGGGGAGTGGAGACAGCTGGGAAACAGAGCATGAATCAATTAAACATGATGAGACAGGGGAAGGCAAACCAACCATATTCCATGAGACAAAGGGCTATCAAAATAAAACAGTAAGCTATTAACACAGAGAGTAAGTAATAGGCTAAACAGACATGGGCCCAAGACAGAGTGGGAAGAGAAAACGATGAAACAGATGAACATATTGACAGGAAGAGAGACAACACATAGAGCAAGTAGTACAAACATATTAACTTCAATCAGACAGCCACAGAGACAAAATTCAGACAGACTGGACACGAAGGGAGCCAACATAAATAGAAAGGAACAAAGAACCATAAATAAAAAACTCAGGAAACAGACCATAAATCTTCTTATCATTTTACTTTTAAAGAAATATATAAACTCCAATGTCACGGGTTACATGTATCCCACCTAGTTAACTGTACATACTTCTTCCTCTTCCTCTCGCTATGTACAGAAGCCAGATACATATGCTGACTCTGACTATATGTCTATAGCTGGGAATGTGTCTTTTTATGTGTGTGTAGGCATGTGGATTTGGATGTGTTTGTGTGTGTGTTTCTGTTTGAAAAGAAAAGCCTTCAAACACATACAAAAACATCACTGTTTCCCTCTGGTGGACAAACTCTGTAACTACAACATGTTTCTAAAAGACTTCAAGCCTCCATTGATATTTTTGCAGTTCCTCATTATGTCTGTGCGTAGATGCTGTGATGAGCGAATGAAGTCAGACTGTAGATTTTCCTTCTTCTAGCTGTATTGACTGACCTTTGACCTCATGTGTTTATGACTCTTCACCTCTGTCTCCTCTCACATGGAGAAGATGATCTGCAGGATCCTGCTGCTCATCATCCTCACCTCATGTGTCTCTGGTTAGTTTACAGCTTCACTTTATGAACTCCAAATAAAGCTCAACAACAGATTTGTTCCAGTTCTCAGTGTGTCGGCTCCTCTCTTTCCCTCTCTGTCTCCTCAACAGGATCATTTGTAGTCAATGTGACACAGACCTGCTATCAGGCAGAGGAGAACCACAACATCACACTGGAGTGGACGTTCACCACCAAACCTGACAGATCCACCAACATGCTCAACATCTTTTGTGAACTCTTCATCAGTGATAAACTCTCAGTCCTGTATCATGTTCATGAAGGTGTTGAGGTGTCAGAGTCTCAGAATGAAAAGTTTTCAGGACGAGTCCAGAGTGACAAAGACGCCCTCAGAGAAGGACGAATCAGACTTCAGCTGTGCAGACTCAGGACTGATGACTCGGGTCTGTACCTGTGTGAGGTGAACACTGATTATGGCTTCAGTGTTGGAAGATGTCGACTCAACGTCACTGGTCAGTTATAGAATCCAGATTTTTTTAAGGTATTATTATCACTGTGAGTCTGACAAAATTTCATGGAGTTCAGATCCAGAGAAGGCCATTATTTTTCTGATGATCATTTTCTTTTTGTGTTAGAGAATGTTACAAAACATTTTCTCTGCAAACAATTCGCTTACAAAGTTGATTTACTGTTGTTCTTCCTTTTTGTTCCTGGCTCAAAATTAGTTCCCACGTTAGAGTGTTGTGGTCTCTTTTCTTAAGGTTTTGTTTAGTCTTCCTTCTCCGGCCTTTCACAGTTTATGACTGAAAGTTGTGTTGTATAGCCTGTTACACTATAGCAAGAGAGAGTTTGTGCTCAGAAACTGTTTTATATTTGTTAGTAGTTTAAAAAAAACATAAAGAAAAATGTAAAGTTCAGTTTGAGTTTTGGTCATTTTGCAGGAGCCAAAAATTCAAAGGAAAACTACTGGAAGACAGTTAAAACTGCTTTGGCAGGTGGACAGATTGCAGTTATAATACTTGCTGGTTTGATTGTCGGAATAGGTGAAATAGTTGACCCTAAATTCTTCATTAGCAAAGGGTAAGTTAGTGTTTCCTGTCATTTTAAAAAACAAACTACATTTTTAAAACCCTGTTTTCTGATTTTTGTCATTGTTTTATGTTTATTTTTTTGGTTTACTTTACTTTTGCTTACTCTACAGAGTAAGAGAAGAGACCGCATCAGATGCAGATGAAACAACAGTTCCTCCTCAACTATTGGTGTGAAGTATTTTCTTACACTTTACTGATTACACTGAATAAAACTTGCTGATACTTAAAATTCACTCAAGGAGATCTCCCTCACAATTAGATAACTTTTTCATGTTACTTGTCAAGGAAAATTGTTTTATTTTTATTAAAATGATAGCTTGGTAAAATCAACCAGACCAGTGCACCAATTATCATTCAAGTTCTTCAATCTGATTTTTAAAAGATTTATAAAAGTGTTAAAATAATTTTGGCTTACAGATATGCAAACAAACCATGCTACACACCATGTTTAGTGACTGAGAATGTGATAAGGATTTGTATGAGTTTGGCAAATTGTGTCTAAGTACATGAACAGTGTTAAAAGGTTTGGCCCTAAGAGTGCTTGATTCAAAAACTAAGTTAAAGACACAGAATTTGGCTTAAAAAACTGGAGTTTATTTTTTCAGCAATTTAGAAAAACTCTAACATCCACTCTTTCGAGTAGTAGACTCCTATACTAAATCCAGCTATATTCCACATGCACAGATCTAGAGGAGAGCTGCTGAAACAGGTGTGACTGGTAAGATAAGTTCTGCGAAGCTACTCAGGTCCCCTTGTATTTATCATGCAAAGACTGATCAAATGATCACTGACTTAGGTTAACTAACATATATATATATATATATATATATATATATATATATATATATATATATATATATATATATATACATATATATATATACACACACATATATATATATACACACACATATATATATATATATGTATATATATATATACATACATATATATATACATTATATTATATTATTATAGTATTATTATAGTATTATATATATATATATATATATATATATATAATACTATAATAATATAATCAGGTATAATATATAATCAGGTTTTGGATCAGGTTACATTGAGTCTGTGACTTTTCTCTGTTGAAAACAGGCAAACGATGGCTCAGAGGGCTGTGAAGTTACACATTTAGAAGCATAAGGCCTGATGATGGTGTGTAGAGCCTCTACTTACCTTCTACACTGTGTTTTTGTTACTAATTTATTCATAAGTTTTGCACTGTTTGCTGTTGTTTATCAGTGAACACAGATTACAGAGGAGCAAAGAGACACATGTTGCTTCATCGACTTACAGTTGTCACATAATTGTCATTTATATAGTGGTCTTGAACTCGTTAGACATTTTACACAATGATATTTGGCATTTTCATAATGAAATTCATTTATCAGCATGGGACTGCTGTGTCACCTGAAAAACTCGTTTCATTCATCCTCTAAACCAGTTGTTCTTAACCTTTTTGGAGGTACCGAACCCCACCAGCTTTATATGCGCATTCACTGAACCCCTCTTTAGTGAAAAATAAAATGTGATTTTTTTACTGGTGCACAAAATGAGCCATGCATGTCATGGCGGAGGCTCTGCCGAACCCCTGAGAACGACTCGACCCCTAGGGTTCGATCGAACCCAGGTTAAGAACCACTGCTCTAAACAATGTTCATTTGCACAAATGTTTCAGGGAAACTGATTTCTCTATCAAGGATGAACTAGTATGTTTCCATAGGTTGCCTTTCTATAAATGTATAAATGAAGTGTTTATCATTTTTTGTTCCTTAAGTACAGTATATGATATTAAAGGCAGGTGCTTAACATTAGAAGAAGACAGGAAATGTGTTTTCCCATGGTTTCTCCAAAGGTTGCTAATCTGTCATCTCCCCATGCAGTAGCCAGGATGTTCTGCAGCAAGAGGGTTTGTGTGTGAAAGAAAGCCGGTGAGGAGAATCTGGATTTACTAATGGATCAACTTCCCTTAAGGCTCTTTTTAAATAGAGGCAGTGAATCATCCCCTACTTGCAAAGCCTGTAAATACTTCTGAGGGCACTGTAAATAAACTCTCTAAACCTGCTTTACTGAGTCCAGCCTGCCTTTTGACCATGACAGATTTTGATCTCATAAGAAAAGAATACAGTCAATGTTTTTACTTTGCTGTTTCCACTTTTGCTCAGTTGTCATCTTAGTTAATTATATGTAAAAAAAAAAAAAACCAACAAAAAAAAAACTTCTTTTCAATCATACTTCTTTGCAAAAAAGACATCTGTAAATTCTACCTAAGAAATCTTGCATTAGTCAATTATTTTATTTTGTTATAATAAATTTAATTTAGATATAAACATGTATCCTTCATTCTGTTAGCACTTTAGCTGGGTATGGAAACAGGGTCATTACTCATTTGGTGTCCAGGTGCCAGAATAAATGAATGTCTCTGTCCACACTCTTTATCCTATGTATTAAAATAAAAAATGTCATGGTCAGTGCTGTGTGGCAGGTAGGGTGTAGGACCCAAACACAGAACACTCAGAGGAATAAACTCAAAACGTAGCTTTAATGCTCAACAAACTTTTCATAATAAAGTAAACTTCACGAAAAGCAAACCAAAAACTAAACCAGGACCACACAGAGAAACCAACAGCACAGTAAGAGTACTGCAGGAGATACAGCTAAGAAAACAAAGGGTTTATATGCACATGGGAGTGATCAGGGAAGGGGAGACAGGAGGGGAACACAGCTGGGATTAATTAGACATAACAAGACAAAGGAAGCAAATAGGAATAAGAACTTAAATAGGAAGTATAACACAGAGACCTGACTGACCGGGGAGACAGAGGGAACAAGGAGACAAGACATGCCACGACGAGGAACATGAGAATAAGCAAAATGAGAGACAGGAGAGTCAGTGTAACAAATTGATCAGTCGTCTTATTGTTTCATGTGATACAACGTACATCATCTTTATTGCACAAGGGTGTAACCATCGGTTTCCTTGCTTCTGTCCATTTTCAGTTATTTCACTTTGTGCAAATCAAGCCAACTCTTACAAGTTTATTTTTTATTTTGTCTGAGATCACGGGGTTGGCAGCCTTAGCAGAGAAACTCAGACCTTTAAAACAAAATAACTGATGAGACTCTGACACTCAAATAAAACTGTGCACAGTTTTGTCAGCTGATACAAGTTTTTCTGAGTGTTGGACGTTTACCTCAAAATTAAAAGTGAAAGAAAAAATGAACCATAAACAAAGAAAGACATGAATGAATCATCCTGTGTGCACAATATGTTATTGTGTTTTAAAACTGAAGCCAAACACAGCCGTCTGCTAGCGTCGACGTGTTAAAGAGGATAAAAAGCTACCAACTGAAAGAAGAACAGACAACAGCAGTGTGTATTTCTCTTAAAGCAATTTACTTGTTTTATGTGTAGTGTTTATTTGTGAAGCTGAGTGTGAATGGGACTAATGATTAAACACTTTGTATATTGTGTGAGTTATGAGTTATGAGTCTTAACAGACATGTTGAACAGTGAGCTGCCGCTTTTTTTTCATTAAAAATATTCAGGCTGTTGTTTGTTCTTCCAGCTGATTATTAAATCAATCAGACAGTGACACAGAGCTTGCAGCTCTCTCTCCAACAAACAAGTAAGTAGACTTTAACCATCCTGTATGACTCTTTGTGTTGCTGTACTGCAAAAGATGGAATTACAGAAATTACAAGCAGACACCTTTTACGTATTGCAAGGACTCTTTAAAAGCTGAGCGCCACTCAGCCAATAAAATCACTCTGCCTGTAACTTCATGACTGCAAAATGTCAGAGAAAAGATGAGGAAACAACTGTATCTTTAACTCTTTTTTTTATGGACTCCTGCGTTCTACCTCTTTACTGTTATTGTCAAGTTACAAGATCTTGCAGCTAACTAAAATTTTCTTTGCATGATGATGTCATTTCTGATATGTTAGAACTCAGAGGCACATCTTATGAGTTACATTTTAGATTTTGCGGTCAGCTTTGAGAAACCTTGTGTTTCTTTCATCAGTCTCTGCATTCCAGATGAGAAGCTTCTTCAGCAGAAAAGCAGCATGACAAAAAAGACAATTTACTCCATAAAAGCTAGTTCTTATCACAAGATTATTAAAATACTGGATACCTCAGCATCCTACTACTCCTTAGCATGAGAAAATGAGGTGTTCAGGTGCAGTGGGGCTGTTGGGGACCGTGAACTTTGCAAGAAGTCAGAACCCAGAAGTAAACATGATCATTTCTATGAGTCAAAGGACTATCAAAGAGTTATGTAAGTGTACGTTATCCGGTTGTTCAGTCTGACGTCACTAGCCGTGTCTGGGTCTAAACTCCGCTGCACGTCCTTATATCAAACGATCACTATGGCATTTGCTGAGAGTTGAAAAACTGTCTAAAGTCTTTCATCTTTAATAAAATGATCAGCGTTCTGCTCTACCAGGTGTAACAATTGAGTTTAACATCCAGGCATCCATGAAAACGGAATTTATGACATTTAACGGAGTTAGAAGTTAGCAGGAAGTTAGCTCGCTAGCTTCTATCTAAATACAATATAGCATGTCCTGACTGTGGGGTTTTGGAAACAAATTAAAACGTACAGCTCTGTTATCACTTCCAGCATAAATGAAGACAGAAAACTAAACAGCAGTGACGTTTGTAGGGTTACTGAAGTTTGGCTAGCTGGTATATAATGATGTGCTACGTGACCGCTAGCGACACAGCTATGTGCATAATATAAACAAGCTAACTTTTTTTCCACTCGATAAAAGTTAACGTGAGTGTTCTCGGTGGTCAGGAACAAATGTAATCGCATGGCAGGATGCTGTAAAAGGACCAAACTTCAGCCAGGAGAACAACTGAGATAATCCATCCACAATACGAGGTTAGTCATTCATATACTGCTGCATGGGCTGGGCTGTAGTTGCATCCTAAGGTTTTAAAAACTGAGCTTAAATAAATGATTAGCGGTAATAAAAGCCAAGGGAGGTCAACAGTGATCACTGACTGTTTTAGGAGCTTTTTGAGATTAAATAGAAGAAAATACATAACATTAAACATGTTAACAACACAAAAGCCATATTAAACGCAGACTACGTTAGGCCCGGAAGTAGGATTTGTCATGTCATCACTGAACAACCGGATTACATGAAGGGTTTAGGAGTTTCAGCTCCTTAACCTGTGCCACATTTTTTAGAGGGACCAAAAGCATTGCAAAATGTATTCAAAGGCTATTTCATGGGCAGGTGTGGCAGTCCCTTTTTTATGCCATTATCAATTAAGCAGATAAAAGGCTTGGAGTTGATTTGTGGTGTGGTGCTGGCATTTGGCATGTTTTGCTGTGAAAAGACAACATGGAGATGCAGAAGAAAAAGCCATCGTTAAGTTCTAAAAACAAATAAAACCCATCAAAGAAATTTCTTGATGCATTCTCAATCATCCAGGAAAGTAAATCTCCAAAAAGTTGATTCTGTTCATCTGGACGTAGCGTTTTGTGGGAGAAACGTTTCGTCACTCATCCAAGTGACTTTATCAGTCTCAGCTGACTGCAGGTTTCCCCAATCTTATAAACAGAACATTGTACATGACTGAAACCAGCCCACTGAAGGAACAATAGGCTGGGAGGTCAGTTCCTTAATCTTAATTATGCAAATTCTCATGACCATTGATCATTAATTATGATACTGTGGAAAAATCAGGTAACATCAAGTTGAACAGTATGGCAAAGCCATGAAGATCCACTTGGAAAAATAAATCTGTTGGACATTTTTCTTGGCCTTCAGACAGCAATTCTGATTGCTACAGTGTCGAAAGGGACAGGCAACCCCCCCCCCAAAAAAAAAAAAACAAAAAACTGAGATGCAAAACAGATTTTCAATAAGCTCATGAAAAATTGCAGTTTCATGCAAACTGAACTTTAAAAATAAGAAGCACAAAGTTGTTGTTTTTTTCCAGAGATAGAATTATTAGGAAAGCTTTCTGTCTGTTATAAAATTTGTTCATCTTATCTTCACTTCCCTCTGGTGGTGAAGATGGTATGGTTAAAGAACTAATCCCCTCTTTTCACTAAATGTCACTGAGAAAGTCACACTGACAGCATGAATCAACAACACTCACTGAGACCTGCAACAACAGACAGAAAATAAGTGACACAAACTTACCTCCATGTTTGTGTCATTTTCAGTCCAAAGTTCCTCCTTGTCTTACTAATGTAGAAGACCATGAGGAAAACAGCCATCAGCAAAACACCATCCAAGGACGCACGCACAACCAGAAGCCAGGAGGAGTCAGGACAATGTGTAGAGGACAATGCTTCCCTCTGTAGAGTGAAAGCAGGTGGGTTTGAAGACATTTGTGTTGCTGTTTGTAGTGGGGAGGCAGTTGTGTTTGAAGCTGTGAACAATAAACACAAAACATTTAATAATAAATCAATACTAATGCATCATAACAAGAGTACTGTCATACAGGTAAATACAAACATTTATCAAACACAAAATTCATAATTTTGTTCATAACATAAAATATAAAGCACACTAAAATTGTTTACACCTGCCTGCAGTCACAGTGAGTCTGTGTATCTTGTGGGGAAATGGTAGATGAAATCCATTTCAGCCCCGCCATCATAATTGAAAAATAAATGCATTCAGAGAGGAGAAAGCACTTTTAAAACACACACTTGTATTGCTTTTTTAAATTTTTTTTGGCGGCGGCGGCGCGGGGGGCGGGGGGGGGGGGGGGGGGGGGGGGGGTATATAATATGTGCAGTCATTAAAAGAAAACATTAATACATGACAACATCTTCATTTTTTTTAAATTAAAGCATCATAATACGGTTTTGCAGATGAACAGATGATTAAATTTACCTGCACAAAAACAAAATAATACTCTGAGATTGGTCATCCAACCTTTTTTTGAATGTTTGAATGTCAAACCTCTATTTCAATTTAGACAGTTTTAGGACAGTTTAATGATGTCTCAGCCAGTGTATCAGCTGATCTCGGGCAGTAACATCAATCTCACTGTGATTGTCTTTAATCTTATACTTATAGTTA